TTGCCCTCCCCCCACCCTGGGCTTGGAAGGTTTGCTAGGCCCTGTAATTTTTTTTTTTAATTTAGAAATTTCGAATCTATATAGAAGAAATGTTCTTAAGCTGGAGTGAAGACTCACTGGTCCCAGATCTGAAAGACAGAGACAGCGACAGAGACAGCAACAGAGACAAGGCTTCTTGGAGAAGAGACAGGAAGAAGGTCCCCAAATGCGCGTGTGCACCTATGTGCGCATGCAAGACAGAGAGAAAGCCGAAGAGGAAAAGGAAAACAAAGGAAAGTGTGGCACGAGAAAGGCTGAGAAACGAGTGGTAGAGGCAGGCGTGCGAGCTGGGGGAGGAGAGGGGAGGGGAGGGGCGGGGCGGGAGGGACCCGGAGGATGGATGCCGGAATGCAGGCAGAGCCGGCTGGAGGCGGGCACACATGTGTGTGAGAGACAATGATGTCAGCATTTCCTTCTGGGGTGGTCACGTGGTGCTTGCCAGGTAAACAGACTGGAAATAGACTCCATAAAGGCAGCGCCTGCTGGGGGAGGCGGCAGGCCGAGGCGATCAGCTTCACCCTTTCCTCTCTGCAGAGGCCTCCTGAAGCAGGTTTTCCCCCCAGTCTTTGACAATGGCGGTCTCCGAGTGGAACTGCGTTTTTACAAGCCAAGGAATATGAGTCAAGGAGGAAGAGCCATTTGCTTTTATAATTAGCTCAAGGAGTTTACAGATATTTTGCTTTAAAAAAAAAAAAGAAAAGAGAGGGATGAGTGTAAATCTAAGCCCAGGGACTGCTTATCCTGCTGAGTCTCCTCGGAAAGGCCGTCAGATGGATCTAGATTAAGGATGGATTGGAAGCTGCAGTTTAGAGTGAAAGGATCAGATGCTGGCATTATCAACATTAGGAAAGAGAAATTGCTATCAGACCCAGAGAGACCTGACTAAAGGAATATAAGATTGTCCAGCATTTGGCCACTGTCAAGGGGAGGGACTGAGGCCCTAGGAAAGGGACAAAGTGAGACAAATTGCAATGACTTCTAAGCAGAATATGAATTTTATATATATATATATATATATATATATATATATGTTCAGGTCATTTTAAAATGAGAAGAGCATAGACTGAAGCTTTACCCAAAAAGCGAAGAAGCTGGAGTGGGTTATGTTTCTACCTGGAAAGTTGTAGGATTCAGAATGGTGGTCAGGAGAGAGAGGTTCCAAATGTATGACAGTTTCCTCAAATTCCTGGAAATAAGGCCTTTGCATCTTAGATCATTCTTTAAATAATTTTGGATTGAAAGGATACACCTTATTTTGGTTATAATTTTCTGCCCTCGTGGAAATTTGGCAAAGCCCTTAAGAAAGAGAATCACCAACTGGCTCCACTTTCCAAGACTGAGTAGCTCCTGGCATGCAATTGTAAATCTGGGAGAGTATTAAGCAAATTGGGACTAGAGAGTATCCCTAGAGAGAGGACAAGAGGCTTGGTCTTACAGTTAGAGAGATAAGATAATTCATTGCTTCTGGTTCTACCAAAAAGCAAAACATAAAAGCCTGTCACTATTTCTCTCATTTCTTTCTCTCTCTCTCTATCCCTCATTTCCCCCTCTAACCCTCCCAGATCAGTTTATGGCAGGGAGCACTGCAGGACTAATTTGGGCACATGTGTCTCTGTAGATGGAATATAGATAAATCGAACAGCTGGCTTTAGTTGTACCTGGGAAGAATAAGAGGGGAGGGAAAAATGCATCCCTATAGCTTGTCCTGCCCAACCCCAAGCCCCATTAACTTCTTATACTGGGGAGAGTGTCCAATCAGTGCACACAAGTGCATTTTGAGCCGTTGGGTTAAAAGACAGACATTTGATACCTGTCTCTGTTAACAACATACGTCACCCTGACCCGGCTCCCAGGCCAGAGTTATTTTTGCAGCATTATGTAATTAGATTGCCAAGTCAGAAGTACTTTCTTAACAAGCCTTTCAGCAACCCCTCGGTGTAGGCCTGGCCAGTCCTGTCCAGTCACACATGCTCACACTTGCGTAGTTACAGGCCAAGTCAGCCCGGCTAAAGCCAGTGAAAGGAGACCAGCCCACGAGATCACACATTCTGCTGAACCACCCGGGGGTGATCCTGGGCCTGGTGGTACAGGACACCAGAGTTGGCAGAAGACTCTCATGTGGCCAAAACTCAGTATGGGCAAAGCAGGATTTGCAGGACTGCTGCCTGTCTACTTTTCTCTGCCCTGGGGCCTGCAAAAACTGAGCACTCATGTGCCCAAGAGGCCTGCCGTTTGGATGCTGCTGCCCTCTCTCTTTCCCAGTTTACTGGATCTCCTAATATTTTTATATGAGCGGTTGGTCATTTGATCATCCCTTCCTGTTAGCCCTGCTGACTCACAGAAGTAAGGAACATGTCTCAGCTTCAGACAGAGTGAGAACATTTACAAAGAAAAACAAGAAGCTGAGTAGGAGGTGCAGTGGGCAGTCATTTCGGGTTGTGCCACATGGATGTCATCCTGAGATTTTGTTCATTCTCTTTCCTTTCAGTGAACATCTTTAGTGCTGGTCAGTGACTTGTGTCCTAGCCTTGACTGTCATCCTGAAACCATAGGAAACCAGACAGTCCTTCCTGAATACTTCTGTCTCCCTCCCCTCAGCCAATCTGTACTGCACAGCTATCATTTCTCTTTTGTATTTCCTTGTTTTCTTGACCTGGCAAGAGGCAGCAAGTGTATCAGAAATAACTGTAAAGCTTCACTGACCTGGGTTCCATTTGAAGCTAAGCCTCCTAAAAGCTGTGTGACCTTAAGTGAGTGGCTGAATCTCTCTGAATATAATAATACCAGTTTCCCTGGGCTGCTGGGAAAACCGAATGCACAGGTGAAGTGCCTGTTAAGGGAGCTAACACATAGTAGGTGCTCAACAAATATGAGGTCTGGGCTGGGGATTTAGCTCAGCAGCATAAGCACCTGCCTTGCAAGCAGGCTGTTGTGAGTTCAATCCCTGGTAACCAAAAAAACAAACAAACAAACAAACAAATATGAGGTCTGCAGGGAGGGACAGCAAATACAGCCCTTGCCTGGCTTCTGAGAGCAAAGCCCCACCCCTACTGATCTCCTACTGGAACAGACATTTTAAGAAACCTAAATGGAATCTCATTGTCATTGGGGGTGGGGTCACCAAGGGAAGGAGGAGAGATGTCTTTGCTTCTAAGCTGCCAGCACAGGGTCCCTGGGATATAGACCCCCCTGAGAAAGCTTCTCACCTGAAACTAGCCCCTCACCTGTCATTTTAGTTTCTTTGCTGACCCTCCAAAGACCAGGCATTAAGTTCAATGTGTTAGCTTTGGTTTTACCTGTGCAGAGTTGTAAGGGTCACTGAGTGCCCAGAACAAAGGGGACAGGGGATGACTGTGGTTTCTCCCAAAGTGTGCGACTGTGAGCCCTCCACACCAGGAATTGGTAGGAACCCGCTGGGCAGAGATCTCAAGGGTAAAGCCAGATACAAACAGCCACAGGTGAAACCTTGGCCTGGAGGAGAACCAGGAAGGAGAGGTTCCCTGGAGATGGAGATGTGGGCAAGAGCCAGCGCTCTGGGCTCTTGTACCTGAAATACACAAACACCAAAGATCTGTGAGGCTGGCTGTACCTGCAGGGGGCCTGGGTGGGGTGGCAAGGGCCTGTGGCAGTGCCCACCACTATTCCAGCTGCAGGAAGCCCTTCCCGAAGATTGTAAGTTTAACCTTTAGCATTCAAGTGTCGTTATGAGCAATTCTTCCTGCCGCAGCGTTCCCAGACTGCGGAAAGAGGGGCCAGGGCAAATCCGCCTGCTTTCCTTTTCTTCCCAGACAAAACGAGAGGGAGGGAGATGTGCAGAAGCAAACACGCAGACACAGGCTCCCGTCGAGTTGGCCTTTCGCTAACCTAAACATCCTCTCCCACCTCCGTGGCCAGTCGGGCTTCTGGTCAGCCTCAGTGGTGAGCAGGGCCCCAGGGGTTCTGCACTTGCAGCTGGGCTCCTGGGGCCGAGGGGTACAAAGCCGCCCCCCTTCCCCGGGCCTCGGCTAGGAGGGGCTGCTGGACTCCCGCCCCGGGGCCCAGTGTCCTGCAGCACTCAGATCCCGCCACATCTGGGCACCTCCACCTCCACGTCCTGCGGGGCAGGGGGTGGAGCACTTGTAGCCAGAAAGTCGACTGGGAAATCGGGCTGCAAGGGTCTCAGAAAAGCAACGGAACAAGCGGCCGAGCTGGGGAGTCGGAGAGAAGGGGAGCCAGGCGCGGGCCGGGGCGAACGTGCGCCCGCTGCTGCGCGCTGTCCTTCCCGGGCTGCTGCTGGGACCCGGGCCCGGGCCTAGTGGCTTTTCTGGGGGCCCAGAGGGGAGCAGAAGGGTGGGCCAGTTGCTCCTTCCCGGCGCGTGCGCCAGGGTCCTGCGTGGGGCGCCACGGTCCCCAGCCCAGGTTCTGCGCCGGCCTCTGCGCACCAGCGGTGTCCCCTGGGGTCAGGGCGCCCCGGCTTCTTCTCGGGATCCCACGCCGGTAGGAGGAAAGGGGTCCTGAAATGGGGCTAGGTGTGTCACACATCAGGGATGCGCGGTCTGACCCAGTGAAGTGGGCTCCGCACCTTAAGAAACTGTCGGGATTCTTAAGTTTTGGTTCTTGGGGACCGGGAAGGGAGAAATGGACTGCGCCAGGACTCTAGTTCGCCCAGCCGGGGGGAGCCTGACAGCAGATGAAAAGGGTGCGTCCTGCACCTGGGCCACGGGAAACTGGCGTCCAGCGCCCCTGCTACCCTGCTGAGCTCCGGAGTTTAACAAGGAGGCGGCTGCCAGGGCGCGCCCCAAGCCCACAGGCTCCAGAGCCCTGCCCGGTGCCTTGACACTGGCTGGGCCTGAAGGTTGCCCGTGGGGAGCAAGCTGGCCCCAGCTCTGGACTCCTCCGGGACCGCGGGATGACACCCTACCCTCCACCCCTCAGACTCAACCAAGCGCGGCCCCAAATTTCGTGCCATCCGCGCGAGAAGATTGGTTTTGCCTTTTTTCTATTTCTAAGAACGGGAAACAAACGAATCGGAAAAATTTTGTGTTGGAAAAGTATCTGTTCGATGTCATTTGATGTTGAAATTGTCCTTAGAATTTTTTTTCAACTTCATTTGAAAAAGAGAAAGTTGATGCGCTCCCAAACCTTGTTTCCCATTAAACCGTCCCCTTAGACGTGCAGTCCCTTACGCAGAGGTTTTCTGGGGCGAAGAGAGTGAAATGCAATGAGAGAGAGGACGAGGACTGGGAATCTCTCATTTTAAATCCCATTACTGGCTTAGAGGAGAGGCACTAAAAAAAAAAAAAAAATTAGGAAAAGCTAGTTCGTCCCCCACAGATTTCCTTCACTTCAAAGATTTTCCTCGCCCCTTAAATCAGAAATATTATGGTGCTAGGTATTTCTCAAGAAAAAAAAACTCACATTTTTTCAGAATATATACAAAATATATGTTCCTTTTTACATGTCTCAAGGAAAAAAAAGGGGGTGTGTGTTATGAGGCACTCAATTCCCTGGCCATTAAACAAGCCAAGCCTGCATCTTTTTTTTTTTTTTTTTTTTTTTTCAGGCATGGGGGAGATTGCTGAGCCCCGTATCCCTCCCTTAGCGCAAGCCTGCGTGTCTGCCTGTCAACAATGCACGTGCACCAAGGGCACTGTCTCCCCAGGCCAGCGCTGGTCAGCTAAGTGCAGGGAGCCAGGTCTCAGTTGCCCACTCCCAGCCCTGCCCCCCAGCCTGCCCCCCTGCACTCTTTGCAGGGCTGTCTTTTTTGTGCCTCCGGCTGGCAAGCATGGATCATTCCCCATGTTATGCCTCTGGAAATCCCTAAAGTGAACACAGCCCAACCGAGGGTCTCTTGCCCTCCAGTAGTTCACTTTGTTGCATTGCGATGAGGTTGGTTCTTTCTCTTCCTCTCCGCCCTAGGCTTCAGAGGTGGTGCAAACTTCTAGTAAGCAGGGCACCAAAAACGGAAGCCGTGCGTGCAGAACCTGGGAGAGCCACTGGCTCTGCGCCTCCCAGCCCCAGGTTGGATTTCAGATTTCCCTTGCAAAGGACTGGAGGAAGCTGGGAATCTGAGTCAAACCCTGGAACTAACTAATTGCCCTGCATTTCCACAATGCGCTATGTATTGGAAATGAAGGACAGGCTTTATCATTTGGAACTCTTTCAAGGACCCGGGCACTCCAAGTTTGGGGCTAATTCTTTAAAGGTTTTACTTCTGAGAAATAGGAAAAAAAGAAAGAAAGAATGAAACATACCCACAATCCGTGTACTGGGGATGACACTCCAGAGTGGGTTGTGGTCTCTTTTGAATCGAGAGTTCAAAAGAAAATGAAGCAGGGAAAAAAAGCTTGTTCCCTCCCCCTTGCCCCAGGGATGAAACCTCTCTAGATTGGAGCGGCCAATTTGGTTTGATTTCCGTGGTTTGGAGGCTCTGGCAAGGTTAGGGGCAGCAGCGGGGCTGGACAGACGGACCTCAGCTGCCTTCTGGACCAGCTGGTCTGCTCTTGGCCCTCTGCGCAGAGGCTGAAATCGGGGTGATTCACCCTCACCCTGGTAGCTGGAGGGAGCATTGGTGGAGCATGTCCTGCAGTACCCTTGGCTGTGCTCTACACAGTCTGTCCCTGGACTTTGTCACTCAGCCTCCTTATCTTCCCTCTGCACCCCCACCTGCCTCTTGCCCCCTCCCCCATCTAGTTCTCCTTTCTCTGTCATTTTGGGATGGTTCTTTCTCCCACCAAAAGGTCCTCTTTCTTGCAGTAACTTTCCAAAACAGCTGTACTTTGTACTAAATACCCAGCCTTACAGAGATGGATTTGGGGAGCTCAGTGAAAGCCCCTTTTGTGGGCACCACTGGTTGGCACTCTTAGATACCCCAAGACATCACCTGCAGCACTGAGACCCACAACCTGGCAGTCCCAACACTGTACCAAGACAAAAGACAACTTCAGACAGTTAGGAGGGTCCCCCCCCCTTTAGTAAAACCCCTCAGAAACAAATCTGAATTTGGTTTTTGGTTATTTTTAAGCGGTGGAAGAATTTTGCCAAAAGTATCCTCCAGACTGCCTGAGCTCTTGATGGAGAATGTGGGCAGAGCAAGAAGCCTGCATGTGATGGACACCACTGTGTACCTCTGCCCAGCGCCGTGGGAGGGGAGCGTGAGTGGAGTAGTGGGGGCCGGTGCACTATCCCAATTCTTTCACCTTGCCAGGGGCACCCTGGGTTTGACTTTATTTTATTTTATTTTATTTTTGCCATCAGGGAGCAATGTTTACCCACAGGCAGCTGCTTACTCCCTGGCACACTGAGAGCAAACTTCCTGATTTGGTGGTTGAGGCTCCGGGCACAGTGGTTTAAAGATAGGGCAGAGCCGAGCCTGGAATAATTCGGGAAGTTCAGAAGCACCCCACCCAGCACCCCTAGTAGAAAAGGGAACTGTCTCATTTGTCTGGGGGTCAAGGGGTGGGTTGGGACAAGGGCGGTGGGGTGGATGGAGCGCCACGTGCTGCGCCTGGCTGCAGCCCTGTAGCCTGTTCCTCCCTCCCTGCCTCATCTTCTGCCATTTCCAGAGGCAGGAGAAAGGTGATCTCGGACGTGACCCCTAAATCACAGCTGCCGGTGGCTGCACCTCGCTCCAGGATGAGCGCAGCCCCTTCGCCCGGCTCAAGCAGCTTAACCCTTTCCTCCCTGCGAGCTTGGAGGCCGCCGGCGGCTGCGCCTCCGACCACCGCACTGCCAGCAGCCTGCCTCTTAGCGCCTAGGCAGTAACTTGGATCCTGGGCAGGGGCCACAAAAGGGCAAGAATGCAGGGCGCTGTCAGCCTGGGGCGCAGGCCGTCCAGCCCAGAGCGCTGCCGAGGTGCCCAAGAAAGCCGGAGTTAGCGGAACAAGGAGGGATGTTTGGATCGTGTTAACTACCCAGACAGATGCACTTCGGCATGTCTGCATTTATGGAATCCATATGTCGTCGTGGCAAATGAAAGGACAGCAACACGTACATACAATAGACTTAGAATAACAATACACATTCAAAAAGGGACCCGTGCATTCTTCACCCTCCAACCTTTCTCTTAGATCTAGCGCTTGAGTTGTACAGAGAGACGTCCTTTCAACCTCCCCTGCCTCCAGTCGAGGTTTTCTTTTTTCTTCTCTTTCCTCTTTTTTTTCTCTTTCCCCCTCTTTTCTGTGTCCCAAGTTCCCTGTAGAAGAAAACCTAGGGCCCAGAGCTAGGCTTTCTCGAAGTGCGATCTCCTAATACCCCCTTCACCTTTTCTTTCCCCTTAAGCCTGGCCCATCACATCTTTAGCCCTTGGACCAAAGAACAGCTGCTCACATTACAGCCCTATATTCTGAAAATTGCAGGGGAGCAGATTCTTACTCAAATTCACCATCCACATCTTCATCATTAAACCAACACTGCCATGGTATATTTGCAAAGAAGTGGCTTCAAACAGATCTGGAAACACAACCCCCCAGCGAGAGAGCACTTGAATAGCTCTGTACAGTACCTCCATTTATGTACACCTCGTACATTTGTGTGCAGACATAGATGCATGCACAGTCACAGATGCAAAGGCATCTGAAGTTATTCAAATGTATATTTATGTACCCTATATGCATTTATCTTTGTGTTTATATATCTATAGATCCATTCATTTGAGTGAGAGGCACAGGAAGGTATATATCAAGGCAGTATTGCCGCTCTACTCCACTTTCTCTTCCCATTGTAAATGCCTGGAGAACAAGATGGTCTAAAATTCTTACCCGCTTGCCAGCTAACTGAAGGATTCAGAATCTGAATTTCTTGGCTCTTTTTTTTTTCCATTTTGAACATAAAATAATCCATATAGATGTTGGATTACCGTCTAAGCATTATTCAATCATATAAGCTTGGTACCTCTCCTCCTTATAACGAATTCACTCAGTAAAATTAGCATAAGTATTTACCAGATTAAGCTGACATTTTCCTATATTGCAACATGAAATACATTTATATCCAGAATTTCTCTCAATAGCTTATACCATTGGAGGTATTACTTGCTCCGCATAGTTTTATGTAAGAAACAAGCCACAAGTTCACTTCTACTACTATTTACATTTTAAAAGAAAATAAATACATAGTATTTAAGTGATTTTTAAAAAGGTTTACAAGGAGAAATTGAATTCTACTATATCTTTTAAAAAGAAACTAACTGATTTATGAAGATTCATGAAGACAGATAAAATAGGAGGCAAATATACTCCTGAGGGTCTGAACAATTTTCCTTACCTGCTGTATTATGGAAAAATTCAGAATTTACCAGTCTTCTTTCAGCCAGCTACATTTTACACTGACCTGCACTTTGGACTGAAAGGGAAAAAAAAAAAAAGATTAATTGTTGCCAATAAAAATTTAAAATAATAATCAGAAACCGGACAACCTGAAGGTAAAAATATACAATGCCTACAATAAAGATAAATATTTATTTAATCAAAGTAGAGGTTGTATTTGGACTGTAGGAATGTTTCATCCTTTCCTTAAAAAAAAAAAAAAAAAAAAAAAAAAGGCAAGAAAGAAAAAAGCCAGAGTCTTTGCAAGCTCCTGGAGGGTTCCCATTGTCCAGGGCTATCGAGAGCCTAGAATGGCATTAACCTCACAAAAGACACATTGTGCAGGGGACAAAAAAAGCCCCTTCTTCTACAATAACTTTTAGCTTTTTTATTTTTAGAAAATGACAAAGGTTTTGCAAGCACTGACTGGTGAAACCTGTAGCAAGCCAGGCTGGACTTGGCTTTATTGATCAGCTGTCCCGCATGGAAAAGCAGCCAGGAAAAGTTTGAATGGCAATCCAGATTTGGCTCAGAGAGAGGAAACCCCCGATTTTGCTAAATGTATTTTCTTTTTCTTTTTTCCTCTAAATAAAACAGCATTATTTCCAGAGTGAATTCAGAAGGATTAGATGAGGTAACTCTGCAAAATCCTAAACCGGTTTTCTCCCCCTGGTCTTGACTAAGAAGCTGCATGCTCTTAAGAGCATTGGAAAATCTCTCAAAATGAAGAATTACTTTCTAATCAAACAGATTTTCTGATTAATCCCCAAATTCCTTCTCTGATAAATAATCTTGGTTGGCTGGGGCAAGAATTTTTTTTTTTTTAGAAAAAATAAGTTTTAGCGCTCTGTCTCTTCTTGATGTTACAGGGTTTACTAATAATGCCTTGAAAAACAAGTTTTAAATTTGTTTGCAGATCAGTTAAAGTACAGATTGCGTTTTATTTCAGACATTGCAATTTCAATGGTAGCAGCTCATACTTATAACTTATATAAATACATACTTGTCATTAAAAAATCTATTCAGTAGCAGTGATGCTGAGGCTAGGAGAGAGAGAGAGAGAGAGAGAGAGAGAGAGAGAGAGAGAGAGAGAGAAAGAGAGAGAGAGAGACTTGTTCTTCCTGCGATTGTTTGCTTGATTTTTGGAGGTACCTTGCACCAGCCTAAGTGCTGGCTTTGATGTACTGGGTACCCTTACAGTAGCAGGGTCCCTGGCTGCTGTCTTTGATTCCAGGGATCTCCTTTGGGCTCTGGTGGGATGTACTGCTCCCAGTCTTTATCTGAAATCCATCCTCTCATTTCAAGCCCTTTGGCTTCGAGACTGCTCCAAACTCTTGGAGGTAGCTGTTAAGACTTTTTTTTTTTTTTTTGGCATTAGGGAAGGGGTATGTAATCTCCCCCCCTTTCTACACTCTAGATCTTTCCTCGCTATTTAAATATATTGGATTTCTTTCTTACGAATTCAGTGTGAAATTATTTTTCACTGCCTTTATTACATCCCTGCTTTTGATGGCAAAGCAGCTTCCTGTGTTTTGAAAACATCTGCTTTCCAGGTTTTACACGAGAAAACTGATTTTACTTTTTCTCTTAAGTCCAAAAAGGTAGAAAGTTGGACTTGTTTCCAAATGCAACTTTTCCTTTTCTTGTCTCTCCTAAAGTTGCTCTTTCAGTTCTGATTCAGTTTCCCCCTTTATTTCTTCTAGTCATTGCTCCCCTCTTCCCCTCTCCTTCTAAAGAACCAGAGATGATTGATTGCATCTGATTTCAGAAGACAAAATTAACACATTATTTTTTTTTTTTTTGCCTAGTCTATGGTACGTGTTAAAGTTTTCTCAATATTGTTCTTCAATCGTTCGTGATTTGGGGGGAGGTCATTTTCCTCCGTTCAAAATTCTCAGATTTGCAATTTAAAGTGGCCTCTATTCTACGCCTCTGGTCTTTCACTTAAACCTTGGCTTTAAGCTGTCCCCCTCCATTAGTGCCCCCCTCGCTTTGAAGATGTTCTTTTCCTATTTAAGCATAGTTGCATTTGTTTAAAAAAAGAAAGGGAAGAAAAAGAAAAGGAAAAAGAAATTACAAGAAAGAAAGAAAAGAGAAAAAAGAAGAAAGGAAAGAAAAAAATCTTTAAAAATTCTTAGCCAGGTCTCTATTGTTGCTTCTCTGCATTTTACTTCGCGGTGCATGTGTGCGTGCGTGTGTGTGGTGTGTGTGTGTGTGTGTGTGTGTGTGTGGTGTGTATGTGTTTTTAATACATGCATAAACTTTTGGTGCCTCTCTCCCTCTTCCTAGGCTCTTCTCCTATCCTCTCTTCCTGCTCTCCTTGCCCTGCTCATCACTTTCCCCTGGTTTTTTTTTTTTTTCCTCCCTTCCTCCCCTCTGCCTCCCTCCACCTCCCCCTTTTCTTTTTTGCTGAATCTTATTGATCCAGAAGGTGGCTAATTAGCCCTTCCCGTCGTGCCTGGGTAATGAAGCACATGCGCACTGAATTAATCACAGCCATTTTTTGCAGGAAACTAATTAGCAGAATAAAGATCCAAAGACTTTTTTTTCTTTTCACTCATCAGCTCCCACTTCCAGCGCGTCCCCTCCGACCGCTGCAGCCGCCGTCGCCGCCGCCTCCTCCTCCTCCTCCTCCCGGCCGCCGCCGCCGCCGCCGCCGCCTGCTTTGCATCCCAATTACAGCCTAGAGCCGCTGCCGCCGCCGCCGCCGCTTCTCCTCCGTGGCCCCTGCCCGCTCCGGGGGCTGTAAACTCCCCGCCAACCATGCTGCTCGGCGGCAGCAGCGGCGGCGGCGGCTCCCCGGCTGCGGCCGCCTCCCGCCCCGGGCTCCGCCGCGCGCGCTCCAGCTCCACCGCCGCCGCCGCCGCCGCCGCCGCCGCCCGCCGCGCGTCCTCCGCCGCCGCCCCCCGCCAGCCGCCGCTGCTGCCTTGATGGGCTCCGCGGCCCGAGCGCCTCTTTTCGGGATTAAAAGCGCCGCCAGCTCCCGCCGCTGCAGCAGCCGCCGCCGCCGGAGAAGCAACCGCGTAAGTGGCAACTTTTCCCTCTTTTTTTTTCCCGCCGCCGCCGCCGCTGCCGCCGCTGCCGCCGCCGCCTGCTCCTCCTCCTTCTCCTCCCGCCGCCGCCGCCGCCGCCGCCGCCCGGACGCGGGGCTCCTCGGGGCGCCCGGGCTGCTTTGCATGGGGCTCATCCTGCCCCCTCCCGGCTCCCGCGCCCGGCCGCCGCCCGCGCTCCCCGCGCCCGCGCCCTGCTCGCTCGCTCGCTGGCTGCGTCCCGCTCGCCTTCCCCCTGCGCCAAACTTTCTCTTTCTCTTTTTCTTCCTCCTCCTCCTCCTCCTCCCGCTGCTGCCGCCGCCGCCGCCGCCGCCGTCGCCGCCGAGCCCGGGCCGCCCCCTCCTCCCCGGCCCCCGCGCCGCCCTCCGCCGCCGCCGCCGCCGCCGGCGACCCCCGGGAGGGTGGAGGCGCCCGGGGCGAGGCCCGCGCGGCGAGTTTGCAGACGCCGCCGGGCAGGGCCGGCCGGGGCGCGGGCCGAGGGCGGGAGGGCGGCCGGGGTCCCCGCGCCGAGACAAAGGCGGCGACCGGCGGGGAGGGGGGTCCGCGGGGCCGAGCGCCCCCGCCCTCGCCACCCCGGCCCCCAACTTTGCCCCACCCCGAGCGGCGCCGGGGCTCCGGGCTGAGCCGCCGCGCGGGGCGCGCACCCGGCCGGGAGCAGCTGCTGCCGCCGCCGCCGCCGCCGCCGCCGAGCGGACGGGCGGGCGGACGAGCGCCTTCCGCGCCGGGGCCGGACTTGCCGGGGCTGCGGGAGCTCGATCGCAGCTCCGGAGCCCGGAAGGGGGCGAGGCGGCCGCGCCGTCCTCCACCTGAGCGCTCCCCCCCGGCCCCACTGGCAGCGGCGCGAGCGCGCAGAGGGGTCTTTGCCCTGGACACTAGGGGCTCCCAGGGGCTCGGGCTGCGCAGCTGGCCAGGGCCAGAGCTAGCCTGGCCGGCCTTTCCTGACCAGCTGAGTTGAGAGACACCAGATCGGAGGATTCTTTCTCTCTTTTTCTTTTCTCTCTCTCTCTCTCTTTTTTTTTTTTTTCTTTTGCTCATGCGAGCCTGGGATTGTTTACGTTGGGTTCCCCACTCTAACCTCTCTCCAGGCTTCAGTAGATACTAAAAACCACGTTCCTGCGTTTTATATTATGCATTTTAAAGTACATCCTTTTGCCTATCTATTGGAAAGTAGACCTAGTGTATTTTATGCAGCGTATTTAGGTTGTGTATGGACTCAATGCTCCTCGGTTTCTCATGGAGCTATTAAAATATATATCTGAATCTGTATTTTACTCCATGAGTTAGTCTGTTGCTCAGAATCTGACTTTTGTGAAATGTGTGCAATTCCTTCGACTGTGGCAAATTCTTTGATTGCAAGTGCTTTAAAAAATCACGCACTCTTAACTTTTTCCCCTCGTCGCTTTGAAGTAGGGTAAATATGACAATTTTTATTGGTCTCAATTATTGAAACTTGATCTAAGGACTGTGTTGAAGAAGGAGGCTGATTGCCTTTTTCTGGCCTCCAGTAGTAGTGACTTCTAAAAGGGGGTTTGTTAAGTACCTTTGAAGAATATGACAATCGGTGATCGCTTGGCTGTAATGCAAATTACAGAGCATAAATTCACTTTGGAATTAAAAGAAGACTCTTAGTGAGGACAATTGAGGGTTTATTATGTTTTTTTTTAATATTAGTTTTTTTTCCCCATTACTTTGGGCAAATAGCTAGTTACAGATCAACTTATTTGGAGGTCCTTGGAAAGAAGCTTGGGAAATAGGAGAGAGAAGATTGATCACAATCTGCATAATCAATAGAGCATCGTGCTGCAATCCTGTACCTACATTTACTGTAAATTTCTACGATATCTGCAGCGTGAGTGTTCCAGTGCCTCACTCGTCTTCTTCCAGCAGACTTAGAGGCAGAACAACCAGAATTTACTGCCCAGCCTTCCGGAACAATATGGGGGAAGTCCACTGCCTTGTAGCTCATTTTTAAAACTCTTTCATTTTATTGAACTGTGTGTGTGTGTGTGTGAATCTGTTTACATATGAGGTCTTCGGATGCTGAACCCTAAAGTGTAGGTATCTTAGGAGCTGGAGGAGAGTGGGAAGTATTCCGGGGCTCTAGGAGGGTGGGAATTCGCTTATTCAATTACTACTTCGGAGGCCTTCTTTTCATGGTATTGTGTTAGATTACTTTGACTAGTGCAAGAAAATTAGAGATAGGGTTATAAGAAAGTAATACAATTACTTGATTGAAGCAATGTTAAAAGTAAGAGTTGAGGTTTGTGTGTGTAAGAAAGAGAGAATACTGAGAGTTGTCCTATAGTCAGTGTTGAGAGCTTGGTGGTGGGTGAATCCATATTTGGAGATGATTTTGGAATAGTCTAGCAAATGGTGTACAACAGTATTTCATAAAAAGTGTACACGGAGTCAGTTTTGAAAGGACTGCGGTTTGGGAAGATGAGGTGTGGGCAGGAAATCCCACTGGAGGCCAGCAGCCTTCCCTGTGTCTGTCTCCTCCCTTCCCCCTCCCTGGGTTTTAGTTTTTAATTACTTAATGCTGAAACGCACAGGGCTTATATAAATATTTGCAAATGCTCTTTCCTATTGATTTCTCTGAATAAACTGCCCCGCTCTGGTGCAGAGAGGAGGCGATTCAGATCTGTGGACTTTTTAAACATATAAAGTCTCTGGAGGAGTGTTTGTGCATGTGTATGTTCACGGGCAGAGTTGTAGGCATTAAGATTGTGAGGGGCGCACAAGGAGAGTTGGGGCTCTTAGTGGTGTGGCTGAGAAAGCTGGGCTGGAGCTGCCCCCATGGCCTGGCAGTCCTGACAGATGTGTGTGTGTCCATGTGCATACATCCACACTGTGTGGGTGTCTACACTGGGGGAGACTAAGTGCATATGTGTCATTCCCCCCATTAAATATGGAACAGTTTCCCAGACTCAGGGACTGCCTTCTCCTCAGGGTCACATTGAGTTCGAATCTGACCCAAGGTGCAGGAATCCTGCATGGGGAAATAAAAGAATCTACAGAATGGGGTCAGGTCAGCTGTTCAGAGGCCAAAACCCCTACAGCTGCTTTGATTTTATTTGTGTGTGTGTGTGTGTGTGTGTGTGTGTGTGTGTATTTTAGGCTCCTCCTGCCATGTTACAAATTGTGCCTCCCCCTCTCAAGTGTTTGCTCAGTAGCTTAAAGGCATCAGAACCTCTGCCTACATAGACCTGTGCTCCCAGCAACAACAGAAAACCCACAATACAGAACCCAAAACAAAACAAGGGAGGAGGGGGAGAAAAAGCCCCTATTGAGTTCAGGCAAATAAGGTTGGGTCTACAGATCCGATTACAAAGCAGCCTTGAATATGCAAGACAGTGCACAAGACCAGTTATTCCAGTTACAACAAACTTAAAAAAAGAGAGAGAGAAAAAAGAAAAGGCATGTTTAGGTCGTAATTTGTTAGTACAAGGAAAAGAATCCCACATAAAGCTGCCTTTTTTTTTTTCCCCTCCCCTTTGCTGGCTTCACACAATTCACTTATCCTTTTCCGATTGCCTGCTCTATAGGTTCTTTTATTACAATCTTTTGGGTTTAGGAAGATCGCTGCAAGCAACACATTTTCTGTATTTTTCCTCCCTTTATCTTAGAGGAGAGTTGGCAGGGGTTCTGTGGTTTGCAGTTACACAATATGTTATCATGTTTTTAATCACTAAATCATTGCAGTGGTTATAGATTTACAGTCTTGGGGTATTACAGAGAGGAGCAACGGCGGCTATATATATGCTTTTAAATTACACCAATGTAAACTGAGTGAAGCAGCTATGAATATGGTCTGCAGACTTCAACCCCCCCTCCACCCAATTTCTTTCTCCCTCTGAGATTTTTTTCCCCTCAAATTGCTTGGTTAACTCAACATAAGCCATCTCCTCTCCTCTCCTGTATTCTTTGTCTTTTCAGCCTCTTTCTTTTAAAAAAGAAATTTTTTTTTTTTCATTTTAGACCTCTAACCCTAGACAAGGCAAAATTCAAACTCTTGAAATGGACCTTTGGATCAGAGTATAACAATAATAACAATGAAGTGTGGATTTCCTAGGAAATCCTCTTGATTTCCACACTGG